GGAGAGAAAGAGTGAGAGAGCAAAAGTCAGTCCCTCAGCAGCCAGCATGGCTGCGCTGCCAGGGGTGGGGAACAATCAGGCACTGTCCGCCTCCCTCTGCCCCCCGGGCTCCCACTGGCTTTCATCACTGACCTAACCCGGGGGGCAGAGCACTAGGCGGGGGCGAGAGGGGAAGGTCAGGGGTCAGCCCATTACATGCCAAGCAGAACTAGGAATAGAGCTGCTTTGGGGGTGGCTGGGGGAACTCGGGGCCCCACGGGAGCCCACATCCCACCTCTGGCCAGAGGCAGCCGATTGGAGGAGGCAGGTCGGGAAGAAAGGTGAGAGCTGCCCATGGAGTGAGGGCCATGGCTCCCTCAAAGCTGGGAACGGGCCTCTGGAAGGATGCAATCTAACCCCCTTTCCACCCACTGCTGCCCTTGTGGGAGAGGTTTCCTTGTCCCTAAGGGGATCAGGCCCCCACCAGACCAGGGCTCCCTTCTGCCTCCCCAGCCCAGCTTCCCAGTCAGGCCACCCCTGCAGTCTGATTCCCCACCTCACTTCAGACTCCAGGAGGGGGAGGCGATGCCCCCGCCTCCACGACAGGCGTCTCTGGCTCCCTCAAGCTGCCGCTAGTGGCCTGTGCACTCCAGCCAACGCACAGATCTGACTGTTCTATCCCTCCTCTGCTAGTCTCCTGCGGCACCTCAGTGCCAGGCTGATAGGGTCTGGGGTTCTGATTTTGAAATTGGAGACCTCCACCTCTGACCACTGCCTGGTCTCTGGGATCCTAGTGACACAGTTTTTCATTCATTCATTCATTCATCAGGTATGCATTGAATGTACTACTTGCCAGGCGCCATGCTGAGTGTTGGCGATAGAGGTGTGACCGAAACAGGCCAGGTTCCTGCCCTCAGGGAACTTGCAATTTGGAAAGAAAGACAAGAAGCCAGGTAACAAGCAAACAAATGCATAACCCAAACTGTGCTCCATGTCAGGTGGGAGATGGATGTTCTGAAAGAGACTAGCCAAGGGCTGTGCTTTAGCTGGTGCTCATCGAGGGCTTCCTGGAGAAAGCGACAAGGTAACGCGGAAGTAGAGATGAGGATGAAGTGAGGGAGTAGCATACCCGGGGGAAGAATGTTCCAGGCAGAGGAAGCTACAACAGTAAAGGCCCTCAGGTGGAAACATTCCAGCACGTTCCACGAACAGCAAGCCGCCAGAGGCCCTGAACAGAATGAACAGGGAGAAGCAGCCAGGCCCAGATCTCTAGCTAAGGACCTGAACTTTATTCTGCCTGTGATGGAAAGACATTAGTGGGGTTTGGGCAGGGGGTGTCATGGTCTGACTTAAATTTAAAATCAGCACTCAGGCTCTTATGATACCCATTTTACCCATGGAGACTAAGGCTCAGAGAGGTCAAAGGACATTTCCGGGGTCACACAGCTGCCATGGAGCCAGTGCTCTGTCCAGCCCATCCACCAGCTCCCACGAGTCCAGTTACACCCTTTCCCATTGGGCTCCCCTTTTATTTTGGGGTCTTGCCCAGTGCTCTGAAGTGGGGAATGTTACCTGGGTCAATGCCTGCCACCCCCACTCATGTGACCTCTGGCAGGGCAGGACCTTGCTTCTCTTGCCCCCTGATGTGGAATGGCCAATGCGTGTTAGCTTCTAGTATTACTGCTATTATCTGTTTGCTTTAAAAAACCCATGCTCTGGGCTTCCCTGGTGGCGCAGTGGTTAAGAATCCGCCTGCCAATGCAGGGCACGGGGTTCAAGCCCTGGTCCGGAAAGTTCCCACATGCCGTGGAGCAGCGGAGCCCGTGTGCCACAACTACTGAGCCTGTGCTCTAGAGCCCACGAGCCACAACTACAGAAGCCCGCGTGCCTAGAGCCCGTGCTCCGCAACGAAGAGTAGCCCCCGCTTGCCGCAACTAGAGAAAGCACGCATGCAGCAAGGAAGACCCAACGCAACCAGAAATAAATAAATAAATAAATAAATAAAATTAAAAAACAACCCATGCTCTAAATCTCTATGCTGATGATGAATTGAACTGAATTCCACCCACCCACCCCTGGTTCCTTGACCTTTACAACGGCCCATGAGGCCAGTGGTGAGTCAGTAAGGAGTCAGGCCTTGTTCTGGGGCCATGGCAGCACTGAGGGGTGGGCACGTCAGGCACAGCTCAGCACCCATTGCCCACAGACTCCAAAGACTCCCCAGCCAGCCCTGAGATAGGCGGGGCAGTAATAGTGACAGGAATGGGGTGGGGGGCGGGGGACTCCGGTGCCCCAGGAGGTTTTTCTCCCAATGGCCACTGGGTGGCAGCACTTCCCCAGGAATATGGGATTGTGGGGGGCGCAAGCTTTTCCTGATTGAATCTGAGGCTCAGAACCCAAAGGTTAGAATCTTGGAGGAGACCTAGGCCCAGAGAGGACTTGCCTGGGGTCACACAGCTTTCAGTGGCCGGGCCAGGCCAGGGGTCACCCTCCTGCCTGGATGGACTCTGGAGCAGCAGGAGGGGGAGGGGTAGTTCTCCCTGTGCTCTGGCCAGGACTTGGTAGCCTGATCATGCCTGTCACTGGCCCCACTGTCTGTCTCTCCTGCCACACTGTGATTCTCTGAGGACAGGGGACTGTGCCTTGTATCCACTGTCGCCTGCACCAGCTATGTCCTCTGCCTGGGTCACCCTGCCCCTCTTCTTGACCCGGGTCCCACCAGCACCTCCTTCAAGACTCAGCTAAGATGTCAGTTCCTCCAGGAACCCTTCCCTGGCCTTTGTCCTGGGCAGAAGCCCCTCCTATGGGCCCACAAAACATCCTGGGCTCTTCCTAGGTGGTGAGGCCCCCAGGGCAGGGATCGTTGGTGTAGCTGAACAGGCCCACCCTGAGGATGCACAGACACTGTACATTCTGAGCCTGCGACACAGTGGTCCTCAAACTGCAGGAGACATTGAAGCTACCCACGGAGCTTTGTGAAAACGCAGCCTCCAAGATTCCCCCTTTCCCCGGAGACTCTGATCCAATAGGTCTGAGACAGAGCCCAGGAGCCTCCATGTGAGCTACTTCCCAGGCGAGTCTGAAGCAGCGGCCCGAGCATCCTAAGGCCCCCGAAGTGTGCCATCAGCCCTGCCCTCTGAAGTGGTTGGGCAAAATGACTATAATGAGGAATGACAATAAAAACCTCTGATGTCATTAAAAAGTCTACAAATAACAAATGCTGGAGAGGGTGTGGAGTAAAGGGAACTCTCCTGCACTCTTGGTGGGAATGTAAGTTGGTGCAGCCACTATGGAGAACAGTATGGAGGTTCCTCAGAAAACTAAAAATAGAATTACCATATGATCCAGCAATCCCACTCCTGGGCATATATCCAGACAAAACTATAATCCAAAAAGATACATGTACCCCTATGTTCATAGCAGCACTACTTCTGCCTGCGAGAGGTGGATTAGAGCCGGGCCTGGGAGATGGGGAGAACAAGGAAGAAAAGAGGAGGCTGGGCATCTTGCCCTCACCTGGGGAGAGGGACTGGAGTGGGCTGGGTGGGGGCTGGTCAGGAGGCTTGAGGGACATCTGTGTCATGTGAATTGTTTACAAGCACTCATACCTGTTTCTCCTTTTTATCTTGATCTTTGGGAGAGTCATTTTCCCCAGTCTACAGATATCTGAAGCTCAGAGTCAGGTAGTGACTTGCCCAAGATCCCCTAGCTACAAGATGGCAGCATCTGGGCTTGATCTAGGGCTACTGTGAGGTGGAAGAACCACAGTCCATGTTAAATTATCTGGGTTTGGAGACTGCTGATTTTTTAGAGTCGAAATTCTGGCCTGCAAACAGGGCTTGGAGGTCCCAGCCCTAGCTCTGCCGCTGACCACGTGGGAGACAAGGGGAAGTGCCTCTCTGAGCCTCAGTTTCCTTACCTGCACAATGTGGCTGACAATACTTGTTCTTCTCTCACAGGGTCGAGGTGAACTTTGAAATCCTGTGAAAGTGATCTGAACAGCGGAGCAGTGGGTATATGGGAAAGTTGTCGCTGTTGTGGCGTTCTGCACAACTGCTGAAACTCAGATAGTTCCCTAAGGAGGGGGTGGGGTGCAGCTCCCATCAGGCCATGGGATATGTGGATAATCATCCTTCTGCATTTCTCCTTTCTCTGCTGCCCCTGGGAGGGGAAGCTGGACAGGCCTGGGCCCATGCTGCCTGGATGAGGCAGATGCCAGCGCTGAGTCTCTGGGAGTACCAACCCGCTCCGGGGAACTTACTTTACACAATACCAGTGGCAGCAGAGGTTGTTGGGGAGATAGGTTTGGACCCTTCGGCTGGGAAGCACTGATGGTGTTCCCTGAGCCTCAAGTACACAGGGGCTGTTACTCTCAAGGGGACCCCAGGGGAGCTGCTCAAGACTAAGCGGGGGTGTGAGGAGTCTTTCACTAAATATCACAGAAAGCATCTGCCTCAGTGCTCTTAGTTTGCATTTGGAGAAAGGAGGCTCGTGAAGGAAAGGGAAGGGAATCCAATCTGTCAATAGCAGAGCCGCTGACCACAGGTGTGCAGGTGTTAAGACGGGCACTGAACTAGGTGGCAGGAGTCTCAGGGCCGAGATCTGGATCTTATATTAACTGTGAGTGGCTCTGGACTCTCTTCCCCTCTCTGGCGCTTAGTTTCCTGGCCTGCAAAACTCCTATTAGGCTGGCATCTCGAAGTATCCTTCCAGCTCGGACACTGTCATTCTAGTAGAGGAGTGACGGCACCCTAGGACGGGGTGCTGAAAATGTGAAAGGGAAAGTGTCGGGGTTTGTAGTCCACTGAACTTCTCTGGAGGTCTCCCCGCCTACGGATGCTTCCGTTGCCACGGCAACCAACCAGGCGGCTTGGTCCCCCGGCGTCCCGCTGAGGAAGCTGGGAAGAACCCTGACCTTATCAAGATGGCGGCGGCCACAGGGCAAGGGGCGGGGTTGAGCGCCGTCGGCCTGTCCGGACGTTTCCTCTCTTTCCGCTTTTTCATGCTAAAGGCGACCTTCCGTCAATACTTGTTCTCCTTCCTCGTTCTGGGAACCCCGGGAGGCAGGGAGGGAAGGGTTGCCTGTAGGGACCCAGGCAAATACCCAGTGCGGGAAGACGGGACTTCCGCGTCCCCCCGGAAGTGACGCGACAGTCGCGGCCGCCGACAGGTGGAACGGCAGGTGGGTTCAGGTGCCAGCCTGGCCCGGACCCGGCTGTGGTACTGACGCTTCCGGTGAGCGACAGAGGCGAGCTCCCAAGGGCCTGGAGACCCGTGGGGCGGGCTCTGGAATCTGAGGCTCCGCCCTGGCCTGGAGTTCCCCCCTGTACCTAGTAAGAATCACCTACCCACCCCCCACCCCGGGGACTACCCCCATCGTCCGGAGGGGAGTGGGAGGGCCCGACTCTCCCAGATCGCCGGGGTTGGGGTTGGCATTTAGGCACTGGTTCCCTAAGCTCTAAGCTCTTTTCTTTCCCGGATCCAGTTCCCCATTCCCCTGCCGAGCTGGGCAGTTAGCCAGCACACTGAAACTCTCGGAACCATGTTTGCAGACTTGGATTATGACATCGAGGAGGATAAACTGTGAGTATGTTGTTACCCCAAGTCCCACTAGTGCAGGAGCCCCAGGTCTCTCAGGTGCCTGGACTTACCAGTTCCACAGACCTTGCTTCTCAGCAGAAGATTAGGTCTCGTACTGTAGCAGAAATGAATCCTGCCCTTCCAGGAGCTCACCATCTGTAGGGGGCTGTGGACACATTGATGGATAAATACAGTTCAGGGCCATAAGGGTGCTAATGGAGAGTGACCTGGCTACACGAGGAGAACCGAGCAGGCCAAGCAGTGCCTTTTCTGGGGTGTTCAGGGAAGGCTTCATAGAGGAGGTGACAGTTGAGCCACATTTTGAAGGATGAACAGGAATATCATAAACATACTTTCCTCCCCAGCATAGATGATCAGTGGGGCAGATTTTCAAAAATTAAGTTAGTTTCCTTAATAGAATATATACTCCCGCAGAGCAGGGACTGGGTCCAATGCCTTTCTGTGTCCTCAGCACTTAGTACGGTGCTCAGCATCAATAGGTTGTTAGCAAATGTTTATCAAGTGAATAAGAGAATAAATGAGAATATTTACCACAAAACATAAATCAGTGCTAATGTATAGTGAAAACTGAGAGGTAATTGAGTACAGCAATTGACAGATGGGTGATGGATCGCTTAACAGGAGAAGGCTTCCTGGAGGAGGTGGCTGTTATGTTCCATATGTGCCTGAGAAGGTGACAAGGATAGAGTCTGACTCAAATCTTAGAGAGAGAATGAAGGAAAGGGAAGGGGGACCTATTTTTACGGAGTGCCTGCTCTGGGCTGGGGTGGTATTTAAGTGCCTTCCATGTACTTTCTTCCAAGAACTTTGGTAAAGTGGCCATTTTTTTTTTTTTTTTTTTTTTTGCGGTACGCGGGCCTCTCACCGCTGCGGCCCCTCCCGCTGCGGAGCACAGGCTCCGGACGCGCAGGCCCAGCGGCCACGGCTCACGGGCCCAGCCGCTCCGCGGCACGCGGGATCCTCCCGGACCGGGGCACGAACCGGCGTCCCCCGCATCCGCAGGCGGACTCTCAACCACTGCGCCACCAGGGAAGCCCAAAGTGGCCATTTTTAATCCATACCACTTTATGGATGAGGAAACTGAGATGCAGAGAGGGTGACTTACTTACCCAAGTCCCACAGCTGATAAATGGCTGAATTGGGATTGATCCCCCATCAGCATGGCTCCAAGAGCTCTGTGACGTTCCAGCACAAAGTGCTGTCTTTTTGGCCAAGTGAGAAAGAGAAAAGGCTGTGCAGCACTTGGAGGCTCTTGGGAGTTTTAGAAGGTCTGTCTGTCCCCGTCCCCTCCAGTCATCCTTTCTCCAGGGGACTCAGCTGCACGTGCTTCTCTCTCCAGCGGAATCCCTACCGTACCTGGGAAGGTGACCTTGCAGAAGGATGCTCAGAACCTGATTGGGATCAGCATTGGAGGAGGAGCCCAGTACTGTCCCTGCCTGTATATTGTCCAGGTATTGAGTGCTTTGGAGGTGGAAGGGAGGTGCTGGAGGGGGCGAGCCACCTCCCTACTTGGGCGTGACAAAGGTTCATTTCTCCCCTCTGCACAGCTGACTCCTCATTCTCTTCAGAGGGGCTTCCCCGAACACCCACTGTCAGTAGGTCCACCCTTGTTTTCCTCTATCATTTCAGTCTGTTCTTTTCCTTCTCAGCACTTATCACCATCTGTACTCATGGATTTGCTCATTAGTTCTGTATCTAACTTCTTTTCCAGACTCTTTGCACTATGAGGTCAGGATCCCAGTTTGCTTTTTCACTGCAGTCAGCACCTTGTACAATGCCTGGCAAATAGCGGACCTTCAATAAAAATGTCATCAGTGAATCAATAAAATCATCAGCCTTTGGTACTAACACAAGTGAAGCATAATGGAAAGACTAAGACTATGAAATAATAATGGCCTGAGTCCAAGTGCAAGCTTCCCTGCTTATTAACTAGTTACTTAAGCTCTCTGGGCCTCAGTTTCCTCACCTGGAAAATGGGGATATAAAATATGTAGATCTGGGCATCTTTGGGTTGTTGTGAAGATTAAACAAAATGACATCACACAATGTCCGGCCCTTAAGCAGCACTCCCTCGATAGCAGCTGCGATTATTTTTATGACAGTTCACTTTCCCAGATGATCTGCCAGTGATACTGAACAATTCTGTGGTCCTTATAAGAAGGGCTGCCCTGGTGATATTCTGTCAGCTGTGACGCAGGAATGGGGACGGGCCTCGTTTATTATGTGGCTGGTCAGAGTCAGTGATCTTTCTGTAGCCTTGGAAGGAAGCTTGCCCCCCTCAGACATAAACTTGACCTGGATTCCAGCTATGTTTTAACCTTCTCAGCTATGTAGCCATTGGTGGCAGATGGGAAACTGCAGTTTCTCTGAGGATCTTACAAAAGAGTCACTCCTAAGGTAAGGCCTAGAAGATGGAGAGTCCCTGGATCTGGTCTCGCCTGCTTAGGGTGTGGCCTTTACGAGCGCTTTGGCTTCCTCTGGCCCAGGAGGTGTTAGGGAGGCCTCCCCCAGGCCTGGCCTCCTTGCCATCTCCCTGCTCAGCCTCCCCTGCCACCTCCCCCTCACCACCTGTGGGGGGCCAGGTTTGTTCTTAATATGAACTGTGATTATAAAATAATAGAATTGATTTTTTTCAAAAGTCAATTTTATTTTTAATCAAAGGCTATCTGACTTGCTTTGAACAAGTCAAGAGTACTAAAAGGCTAGTGTCAAATAAGCAACCCCTCTGCTCGACGCCTTCTCACCGCCCTTCCCCTTCTCACCGCCCTTCCCCCACCCCAATCCCGGAAGCAACGCCGCTTCCCACCCTTTTAGCTGTTGATTCAGGTATGAGGTCCCATTTTTCTCAGTAAGATGCTTAGCCTGTTAGTTTTTGGTCTATTGCTTATAAACATCTGTCAGCTTCTCTCAGTCTAGGAGCTAAAATTTTAGCTTTCTTCCAAAACCTATCTATCTATCTTCCCAACATAGTTATCGTGTCAATTTTGGTTAAATCAGTATCAGTACAACAGATATTATGTTCGGGAAATATTTCCTGAGGGCCTGGCCAGGCTCTTTCGTAGCCACTAGAGATAAGAAAGCAAAAAAACAGAGACCCTGCCCTCAGAGAGCTCGGAGCATAGTAACATGCTGTTTTTTTGTCTTTCTTTTTAAATGGCATAGTGTTTGCATATGACCTCTGCACATCCTCCCGTATAGTTTATTATTATTATTATTTTTAAAATAAATTTATTTATTTACTTGTTTATTTTTGGCTCTGTTTGGTCTTCGCTGCTGCACACAGGCTTTCTCTAGTTGCGGCGAGCGGGGGCTACTCTTCCTTGTGGTGCACGGGCCTCTCATTGCGGTGACTTCTCTTGTTGCGGAGCACAGGCTCTAGGAGCACCAGCTTCAGTAGTTGTGGCACGTGGGCTCAGTAGTTGTGGCACATGGGCTTAGTTGCTCTGCAGCATGTGGGCTCTTCCCGGACCAGGGCTTGAACCCGTGTGCCCTGCATTGGCAGGGGGATTCTTAACCACTGCGCCACGAGGGAAGCCCTCGTGTGGTTTTATAGGTGAGCAGACCCAGGCTCCTGGCCCAGGTCCCTAGCTGGCTGAGTGGTAGAGGCCAAGTTAGAAAGCAGATCTGACAGGCTCCAAAGCATCCGCGTGCTCTCCTGCTGTACCAGATGGCACCGCCTGAAGGCTCTAGAAATGCTGGTCCCTGCCCCCCCCGCCCCCCCCCCGCCTTAATCCCTGCGGCTGCTTCGGGGGGCCCAGAGGCTTCATTGCAGATCGTCTGCCAAAACCCGCAACGGTCTGGGAAACGTCTGCTGCTGAAGCTCCAGCAGGATGTGGGCAGGGAGGCCAGTGGCCGGCGCTGAGGTGGTGGCGTTCCGTGTCCTCCGTGTTCCCTACAGAAGGGGTCGTGGAGGGTTGTGTCGGTTGGGAGGGAGCCTGGAGTTGAGTCTGTCCCCCTACTTTCTGCCTTGCCTTCCACCCACCTACGGATGTTTCCAGAGGTCTGTTTCCTGGCCTGCCGGCAGTTTCCAGCAAAGACTAGCTCTCTTTCATCAACCCCCTGTGCGGCCCTTGGATCCCCACTGTTCCATCTTCCGGAAATGGCTGTATATCTTTTATTGTTGTGATCTCCTTTACCATTCTTTTTCAGATAATTGTGATGTTTTTATTGTGATTCTGGAAGGTAGCAGAAAGAAACATTTGTCTTAATTATTTCATTTTTTTCTTATAATATTAACGTATATGAAACATCATGAAATATTCTTTCTACGTGCTTTGCATAGAAAACTTGGAAACTAAAGATAAGGTATAGGGGAGACAGCTAATAATTTTGGCGTCTCTCCTGGTGGTTTTTGCCTGATGTGACTTTTGTATTCTTGGGTCCGTCTCTGCATACACTTGTGTAGCCTGCTCGCCCCTCGCCCCGAGCGTCCCCCATACGTCTGTCCTTTAACAGACACATTCAGCTGCACTCAGCCAGTGAGTGCAGACCCTGTGTTAGGGGTCATCTTGGGAGAAGGGGCTCACACGTGTGGCGGGGCCCTTGCTCCTTGGAGACAGAGATGAAGTGCAGGAACTGGTAAGTGGTGCGTTGAGGCTCTGAGAAAAAAATCTCAAGAAATGGCTTGGGAGGAGCAAACACTCCTGTGGTCGTGTAAGGTTTTGTGTATTTGATACCAGAAGAGGAAAGTCTCATCAGTCGCATTTACCTCCAGTCCCCCTTCCCCTCCCCCAAGAATGTGGGTCACTCGTTTCTGGCTGTTAGGGTGCTGCCTCCCCTTGCCCTTCTCCAGCACCACTTAAGGGATAGAGGGCAGAGACCAGGACGGAGCCGGGTGCCGGTTGGAGTGGAGGGAATGACTGTCCCCCACCAGGTTTCTTCCCAGCTTTCCTTTTCTCCCCCACCCACCCCCCCTTATGCACCCACAGGTGTTTGACAACACCCCAGCCGCGCTGGACGGCACCGTGGCAGCTGGCGATGAGATCACCGGGGTCAATGGCAGGTCAATCAAAGGAAAAACTAAGGTGGAGGTGGCCAAGATGATTCAGGAGGTGAAGGTAAGGGCTGCTGCGGGACCTCCAGCCTGCCCGAGGGCCTGGAAGGGGGGACTGGCCCTTTCACAGCTCCCTCCTCAGTGCAGCAGGGTCTGGGTCACATCCCGGCTCCGTGTTCATTCAGTAGATACTGTTTATGATCCAGGACTTGTGCTGGGCCTTGGTGAGAGAGTGGGCACCAGGACTGAAAGGTCCCCGTCCTCGAGCTCCCAGGGGAGCTGTCAGACGGAATCACTCCTCAGGGCGGGCCAGTGTGTCCCCAGTCAGGGCTGGAGCCGAAGCTGGAAGTCTGAGGTGAAGCTACCTGGGTCAGTAGACATCCAGTAAATGTCCACTGGGCCATGCTGGGCCCAGGAAGTTGTAAGAGGGAAAGAGGGGCCCCTCCCTACAACCCCCGTCGCTGTAGGAACTTTCAGTCCCCTGGGCCCTGGGGCAGCTCCTGGTCCAGCGGATGGTCTCCTGTTCTGCAGATCACACTGCACTCTGCCTGTTCCCGGCTTCCCCCTCCCTGCCCCCGCTGCTCCAGGCCAAGGCCTCTCCCCACAGGGCCCCTCTCTCCCTGAATGGCAGGGAGCATTCTGGCCAGTCCTGGAAGCATGCAGCCCTTTTGTCATTTCCTAGAGATTTTTGCTGCTAGTAGCTCTTGGGAAACCAAAACAGTGAAGGAGGTGCAAAGCCACAGGATGACTTAAAAGTCTGAGGGTCAAGTGTCCCAGCTGTGTGTTGAGCTTGGCCGAGAGTTTGAGCTCCCTCACCCCATCCATCCAAACCTCTCCTCACCTCCCATCCGTCCTCCGTGTCCTCTGTACCGTGTTTCATTCTGGTACAGAAGTGGGGTGCATGTGCCCCCTCTGGATCCCCTCCCTCATCCCTACTCAGCAGAACCCTCCTCGTCCTCCCAGGCCTGTGTCGCGCCAGCCGCTCACGTTGCCCACGAGAACAGGAGCTTTCAGTGTGTGAGCACAGCCTTGCCATTGCGCAGGGACTCCGCAGCTCCCACGTCTGGGTGCCACGCAGAGATACGGCCCCTACTTTACTGGTGCCCAGAGTGGGGGGAAGGATTTGCTCGTGGTCGCACAGCTGGACCAGAGCCCAGGTCTGACTGCTGCCGCAGCGCTCCTTCCTTTCCCCACAGCTGCTCTCCACACACTGTGCTGCAGCCCGAGAGCCTTTTGCATCTACGCCTGATTCACTGCATGGGGTCACTTAGGAGGCAATCTTGAAATCCTGTGCATTTTGAAATCCTGTGCATTTTGCATTTGAATGGATTCTGTCCCAAGTTCAGAGGTCTTAGGATTTCCAGAACGAGAGAGAGTGACGTGGTCAGGGGAGGCTTCTCAGGAGGAGCGCCACCTCTCTTCCAGTCACTAGACTGCAATTCATGTAATTTCCCTGAATTGCATCGGCCTCCCTTGCTGGCCTCAGGCCCTTGGGGGCTGGGGCTGCCCCCGCACCTGCTTCCTCCATCCCCGCACCAGGCACAGAGAATGTGCTGGGACAGTTTGTGAAGCGAATGGAGGGAGGATGGGGATGGTTTAGAGCGCGGGAGAAGATCCTCTGCGTGTCAGGAAGAATGATGTCGCAGAGCTTTGGAGTGTGGCCGTGGCATGGGGGTGGCAGGGGCACAGGACATCAGAGATCGCCAGGCTGCGAGCTCGGCGTCAACAGGGACCTTGTCTGCCCCTGTCCCTGCTGATTCTCCAGGGCCTGGCGGGTGGTGAGAGAAGGAGGGACCTTTTTCCAGGGCTCAGGATTTTTTCATGACCACAAACTCCAGTGAAAACAGGCCTCTCCCGGGAAGGCGCTTGGGGTCCGGGGGACTCCGTCACCACTCTGCTCGTCCTGCTTTTCCAGGGGGAGGTGACTATCCACTACAACAAGCTGCAGGCGGACCCCAAGCAGGGCATGTCCCTGGACATTGGTAAGCTGAGCTGGGGCAGTGGCGTCCAGTGGCCCCATAAGCCCCTGTTCTGCCTTCTGACGACCATGCGTCAGCACTCACATGGATGTGGTCTCTGACTCTTCTGACCAAGCCGATGCAAAGGGCCTGGGAGGACCCAGGGGTGCTCCCCCTGCTGCTGGTCCCAGGAGCCTGTCGCTGGCTCCTCCCTGCCCTGTGTTTTACCCCCTCCCCCCAGCCGCCTCCTCGAGGACCTTGCCGCCCTAGGGCTGTCCTTCGTACGGCAGCCCTCCAGCTCACCAGGTCCAGGCCCTCACCCTTCTGAACGGGAGGGCAGCCCAGCCCTGGCCTGGTATCTCATGCCCACTTGCATACCCCTCCTCAGCCCTGGCCCCTTCTACGCACCTGCTCCCAGAAAGGCTCAGGGTCTGAACTGGACCTCAGCTTTGGGGCAGAAGCCAGCCCTTCTGCCCATAGCATGCCCTGGGACATGTCGCCTCCTGCTAGGGGTTCTGGGCCTTGCTTCTGTGGAAGCTTCAAGGCTCAAGAGCTGGACAGAAGCTTCAGGGTCCTCTGGGCCAGACACTTCATTCCAGATCAAGGCCCGAGATCCAGAGAGACGCTGTGTCCCTGGGTGAAGGCACACCCAGATCTCCTGGCTCTGGGGTCCAGCACCCTTTTCCTACACCCTTGGGCCACAGCCTCCTCCTGGTTTTTAAGGAAAGAGGCTAAGGGCAGATCAAGTCTGTCCTGGAGGTTCTTCCTCTAAAACCCTCTGGTCCCATCCTGGTCCCCTTCCAGGGACCGAGTATGTGACCACATATCATCCTGGTCCCCTTCCAGGGACCGAGTATGTGACCACACGTGCAGCAACCGAGTCTGGGGCCTGAGGCCGGTTGTCGCTGATGGTGCCTCTGCTCCCGGAAGTGGAGGAGAGGCGGAGGAGAGATTCTCCGTGGTCGGCCTGTCAGCTGGTATCAAGCCTGGGCAGCTCTGGGCTCTCAGTGGTAGCCAGTAGCCACTTTGAGTGCCTGGCCCTTGGTTAAGCGCTTTACATATTTACCCTTCCAGGCTCCCAGCACCTCCCTCAGGTAGAGAGTGAACAGGGCGGGGGCCCAGAACCCCTCACTGGGACCCTCCCTACTTCACAGTCACGCACACACCAAACCCCGGTTCAGCCCCTTCTGCCCCTAGTGTCGCTCCCAGTGAGTCGCGATGGGGCGGGGATGGCCTGGGGGCCCAGACTCTACCTCACTGAGTCCCTTTCTCACCTGGTCCCAGTGTTGAAGAAGGTGAAGCATCGGCTGGTTGAGAACATGAGTTCGGGGACCGCAGATGCCCTGGGCCTGAGCCGGGCCATCCTGTGCAATGGTGAGTCCCCCCCTTCCACCCCCTGACCCTCGGTCCCGGGGGACTCAGGCCCAGGCCTCAGGGGCAGGGGCACCATGGCTGCCCACCGGCTGCATCCTTGGAGGCCTCTCCCGCTCCCAGAGCATTCACAGTAGTCAGCGTAGGCATCTTACAGCCAGTGTCTTCCATTCCCCAGCAAGGGTTCACAGGCCCAGGTCACAGATGAGACAAATTCATGGTGGGGAGGTGCCTCCCTCCAGCTCCCCAAGCTGGTGCCTTCGCCACTGCCCCCAGCTGCTCTCACGCAGCCAAGGCCTCCCCCCACCGCCCCACGCCAGCCCAGTTCCACCCTGTGCCCTCTTGTCACCCCAGCATGCACTGCGCTGCTCCCACACTGCCCGCTCTGCCCCGCCTCTCTCCAGGAGGTGGCGCTGCTGCCCGCATCCCAGGGCTGGAGGTGGCTGCCCGCCTAGGGCTGGGGGAAAACCGCGTACACGCACATGCGCGCGCGCGCGCGCGCACACACACACACACACACACACACACAAACACACACACGCGCTCTCTCTCCAGGGGGCCAGCGAAGCACTCGGTCCTGCTCCTGCTGTCACCAGCCTGAGTTTATAAATAGCAGCAGCTCTGCTGTGTACGTGCGGGGACAGATATAAATACCTGCGTACATTGTAGGCTCAGCTGGGCACACTGGGCTTTATTGGCGGGGATGCAGGGGAGGGGGGTCTGAGCTTGTTCCAAATGGGGTACAAAAGTGGCGGCTGCTATTTCCAGCTTCTTGGTGTCTATAAATCCCTGTTACTGTAGTTACCATGCATTGGGATGAAATTAGAACTGGTTGTTGTGTTTTTCCCCCCAGACCTTGCAATTTCCCGAGCCTTAAATAGGGTTTCTAAAATTGAAGCTGTCATGATGTCCCATGACCCAGCTAAAAACAACAGCATGGCGCTTACGTGGCTCCTTCCCTGCCAGGCTGGCCAGGGGCCAAGGCTCTGGGGAGCCAAGGCCTGGAGGCCAGCCCAGTGGCCGAAGCCTCCTGAAGACCTCCGAGGCGCTCCCTTCCAGCCCCCAGAGCCCGGGCCTTCCTCCCTGACAGCCCAACACACAGCCGCCTTCTCTGCCCAGAGAAAGGCCCAGGCCCGGCTTCTGCTACTCCCCTTCTCTCCTGCCACTCTGAAAACCCTGGCCCAGGTCAGCACAGGAGCCTGGGGGGCAGAGGGCACCCCAGCCTGCACAGCCCTCGCTGTGTGCCTTTAGGCAAGTTGCTTTACCTCTCTGTCCCTCGATTTTCTCTATAAGATGGGCAAAGTAGTCTCTGCCTCCAAGGCTCATGTGGAAGGACTGAGCTGCAGGGAGGGCACTCAGTAAGGCCAGGCCCCGTCTAGGAGGTGCCGGGCAAGGAAGCCACCGACATGGGCCCTGCCCTGCATTTGCTGCCGGTGCCCCCGGTGGGGAGTTGGGGGTGGACCTCAGCCCTGTTGGAGTGGAGGAGGGTGCCACTCGCTGCTGGTGGGAGTCCCACCCACCCCGATCTGGAATGTGGCCCCCTCCCTGGCAAGCCACTTGCTCTCGTTTTGAGCCCTTGAGGTGAGGCAACTGCCCCTGCCCCTCAGCTTACAGCCCTTACTGCCCCTGCCCGTCGTGGCCTGGCCACTGTCGCTGCTGGACTATAAGCCTTGAGGGCACAACTCAGATTTCATTCACCACGGTCATTCCTGGGCCTGACGGGGTCCGGCGCACAGCGGGTGCTCAGTAAACTACCTGTGAAGCCAGCGAAGATGATCACCAGGGCCCGCTCCCGTGCAAGGTCCTCCTCGAAGCCCTCGCTGAGTTTCTCTCCCCTCCCCGATTGCTCTCGCCTCTGAGCCGGCCAGTGGGGGGGGGCTGCCTTGGAGCCTACCTTAGAGTTATTGTCAAGGCGTCCTGTCTCTGCTGCTTGTCTCTGACTGCCTTGCTGCTCGGCCATCAGCAGGGAGTTGTTAGAAGTCCCAGGGCCTTGACTGCCAGCCATGGGCCTGCCTTCTGCCGGCCATGGGGAGCCACCCGCGGGCTTGGCCTTGGGAACGGCCCAACTGGTTTTCACTCCTGATTTCCGGAAGTACCTGCATCCTCTGCCCCTTTGCTGTGTCCCAGCCTGCTGGGGTGGCGCTTATCTCAGGAGCATCCTGAGGGCTGCCCTGCCTACCTCCACTTGTCTGGGTGTGCCAGGCTCTCTGCAAAGCACCAGTGAGCCCAGCTGACCCTGAGGTGCCAAGTCCCCCTCCCTGGGACCACGTCCTGTGCTGCTCCTCTGGGGGCAACATTGCCCCTCCCAAGCCTGGCTCAGGTGACCTGTGGGTCTCTCCCCTGACCCTGTGGCTCTCTGATCCCCACAGATGGGCTTGTCAAGAGGCTTGAGGAGCTGGAGCGGACCGCCGAGCTGTATAAAGGTGGGCAGGTGCACCCTCTGGCTGGCAGCCCCATGGTGGGTGGGGTATCCCAGTCTGGAAAGTGCCTGGCACTGGCTCTGCCCTGGGGTGGAGCTCTGGAGCTCTGCTCTAAAGATGATGGCAGTGGGGGCAGAGTGCGAGCCTGTGCAATTCTAGGACCATGGCCATTAAATATTCTTAAGGAAAAAAATCTTAAGACATACTTCTTTTTTTTTTAAATAAATTTATTTTTGGCTATGTTGGGTCTTCGTTGCTGCTCGCAGGCTTTCTCTAGTTGCAGCGAGCGGGGGCTACTCTTTGTTGCGGTGAGCGGGCTTGTCACCGTGGCTTCTCTTGTTGTGGAGCACAGGCTCTAGGCTTGCGGGCTTCAGTAGTTGTAGCACGCGGGCTCAGTAGTTGTGGCTCGCGGGCTCTAGAGCACAGGCTCAGTAGTTGTGGCGCACGGGCTCAGTTGCTCCGCGGCATGTGGGATCTTCCCAGACCAGGGCTTGAACCCATGTCCCCTGCATTGGCAGGCGGATTCTTAACCACTGTGCCACCAGGGAAGCCCAAGACATACTTTTTCTGATTGTAAAAGTAATACATGCCCATAAAAATCAAATAATAGCACATGTAAACCTAGCGAGAAGAGTCTGAAACCCAGGAACAGTGAGGGCCTCGGGGTGGGGTGGGGTGGGCGTTTGGAGGCCGTGTCCTCGGCCAGTGTGGTCCCCACCATGTGCCCCCAGCCCCCTCGGTTGGGTCTCTCCCACAGGGATGACAGAACACACCAAGAACCTCCTACGGGCCTTTTATGAGCTGTCGCAGACGCACCGGGGTAAGGATGCCCCAAACCTGCTGCGTGACCCTGGAAAAACCCTTGTTACCCTCTGGGCTCAGCACCTCCCCTACACCCATACAGTGAGGGTGCGGCCAGGCTCCTCCCTGGGGCCTTTCTCATGCCCATGCTCAGGCAGACACCGCAGCATCTGACCTCGGGCCAGGTTTGGGCTGGGCACTGTCTAGATGCTGGGGTGTAGCAGTAATGGGGCCAGCGGGGAGCATGTAGACCAGCTAGTCTTTTTTTTTTTGGCCGCACCGCACGGCTTGTGGGATCTTAGTTCCCCGGCCAGGGATTGAACCTGGGCCCCCTGCAGTGGAAGCGCAGAGTCCCAGCCACTAGACCACTAGGGAAGTCCCCTAGACCAGCTTGTCTTGTGTGGGGCACAGTTACTCCTCCGGGCCCTGTCCCATCTATCTGTACTGCCACTTACAATGTACGAGGCCCTTCCTTATTCGTGATCTCGTTTCCTACAAGTTTGTTATTAGTTGGGCAGGGCAGCTACAGTTAACCCCGTTTTGCAGTTGGGAAAACAAAGCCCAGATAGAAAAAGTGGTCGTGCAGCTCCTTAGGGGCGGAGTTGACCTAAGGCCCAGATTCCCAGACTAGTACTCTGCCCCCAGACAACTTCACCTCCTTCAACCTTGACCCAGCCTTCTCCATGGTCTGGTCGCTGTGGGGAGTGAGGGCCAGCTCCCTTGGATGTAGACCCAGCTTCCTCAAGGTGTAGACTCGGGTGTCTACCCCGGAGTCTGCGTTCCTTGGGGATGTAGGTCCGACTCCCTTAGGGGTATAGATTCACCTTTCTTGAGGTGTAGACCATCTCCCTTGGGACGTAGACCTCGGGCAGACCTTGGCCTCCAGCCTGCCACACCCCCCGCCTTGCTTCTCCCCAACAAATCCCTGGCTTCTCCATTAAGGGGTCAAGTAGGGGCAGCCTTCAGGACAAACTTGTCACGCAGCCTTTGGGGACGTGTTCTCCGTGATTGGGGTGCGGGAGCCCCAGCCAGCTGCGAGCGAGGCTTTCGTGAAGTTCGCCGACGCCCACCGCAGCATTGAGAAGTTCGGCATCCGGCTGCTGAAGACCATCAAGCCGGTGGGTCCCGTGGAGCGTGTGTGTGTCAGCACGTGATGGGGGAGGGGGCGGTGTGGCGAGTGGAAGGGGTCCTGTTCTGGACTTGGAGCACCGGGGGCCGGCTCTGGCTTGGTGTCCTACACAGCTGACCATGCGTGAGGCACTCCTCCTCCACGGCCTCAGCATCGACCTCCAGGCTCTTTTCTGGCCTTGGCTCCACCGGAGTTACAGCTTGCCCGTGACCTGGTCTGTCTTCTTGTCCTTGAAACGGACAAGGCTGTCCAGGAGTCTTTGGCTGTGACACCTGAGTCCACTAGAAGCATTGACACATCGGTGCCATTCCTTGCCATCCTGGCCAGCCTGACCCCTCTGCCCGTGGGGGCTTAAGCGTCCGCCCCGTCCTCCCCTTCCAGATGCTGACGGACCTGAACACGTACCTCAACAAAGCCATCCCAGACACTCGCCTCACCATCAAGAAGTACCTGGACGTGAAGTTTGAGTACCTGGTAAGTGGTCTCCAGCCTCTGCGGGGGTGTGGGCCTGGCCTGCTGGGGTCAGAGCCCACCTGCAGATTTGCCCCTCCTCGGTCAGCTACACGGTGGCCAGCAGGGCAGGGCCAGAGCCTCGGTCACATCTGATTGAGGAGGTGGGACCAGGGGCCTAGGGGGTGCTGGGGAATCAGGCAGCAGCCTAGGCCCTGCTTCAGCTGTTCAGAGGAGCCCCTGGGAGCCTGGGGTGGGTAGAGCCCTCACTCTGGAGCACTCTGACCCCATGGGAATCCTTTTGGTCACTTTTAACAATGGATTAGACTAGATCAGTGGTTATAAAGTGGGTACCAAGGGATGTTAATGAGTTTTATGTTCAAATAATAATTCTGTGGTGAAAGGAGGTGAAAAATTCTCCATCAAAGAGGCCAAGGTCCTTTGCTTGAGGACTTGTCAGAGCCTTTGGTAGACCCAGACGTACCACGGGGTCTTCAGGGGCCTTCCCAAGCTCTTTGGACCATGGAGCCTTTTTTCCCAGAGCATCTCTTGGGACTTGAGCGTGGTAAATGCTGGGCTGTCTCTCAGGCCCTTTCCACCCTCCTAGATGAGTGCCCTGTCCTGAGCCTCCCGAGCAAGGCCAGTCTGACTGAGGGGCAGCCTCTGCCTGACACGTCTCGGCCCATCCCAGCTGAGGGTGCACAGGGCCCATGAGGCCTGGCACACCGGCTCCTCTGGGTGGCTGAGGGGTACAGCGTGGCATGGGAGGAACTGGGGACATCACGGTGGGCACCCAGGTGGTGCAGCCCCTCTGACAACCTGGCCTCATCTGTCCCACAGTCGTACTGCTTGAAGGTGAAGGAGATGGACGACGAGGAATACAGCTGCATTGTGAGTGCCACGGGGGGAGGGGGCGTGGCTGTGCTATTGGAAAGGCTCGGGGTGCACAATCGTCCCCTGCCTACCTCACAGAGCCCCAGGAACGGGCTGGGTCTGCCAGGGGTACCAGGTGGGCCAGGCCAACCCAGGAGAGGCCTGGGGGTTTGGCCAGGCTCTTGTTTCTGGAGATTTGGGGTGATCCCCCCACCCCTGGCCCCTCCGGGCCTCGGAGCGCTGGCCAGCTTGCTGTGGGACACTCCCAGTGCCTGCTCCCAGACCAGCGGCCCCCCAGACTTTGTGGGGCTCTTGCAGGGAAAAACTGACTTTCCTCACTCCTGAGAGGTGGTGTTTTACTTCTTTTTAATTTTTTTTTTATAGATTTTTAAAAATTTTTAATTTTTTTTTTTTACGTATTAATTTTTGGCCGTGTTGGGTCTTTGTTGTTATGCGTGGGCTTTCTCTAGTTGCAGCGAGCGGGGCTACTCTTCATTGCTTCTCATGACAGTGGTTTCTCTTGTTGCAGAGCACGGGCTCTAGGCACATGGGCTTCAGTAGTTGTGGCGTGTGGGCTCAGTAGTTGTGGCTCGTGGGCTCTAGAGCGCAGGCTCAGTAGTTGTGGCTCACGGGCTTAGTTGCTCTGCGGCATGTGGGATCCTCCTGGACCAGGGCTCAAACCCGTGTCCCTTGCATTGGCCGGCGGATTCTTAACCATTGCGCCTTCAGGGAAGCCCGTTTTTAATATTTTTGGTATCAGGGTCCATCTAGGACTAAATATTCATTTATTTAATATGGCAAGGGTTTGGGTTTTAGGTTGTTTTTTTCAACAAAGCTATCACTAAGCGCTTCTAGCAGTCCTGGCGCCTCAGAAATGGGGAGCCATGGTAGCTTTGAAGAGTGCCGTGCCGTGCAGGGGTGTGAACCCGTGGGTCGGCTCTGCAGCCTCCCTGCCCCCACCCCCCTCTGCTCCAGAGCAGGCTCCCCACCCCGCCCAGGGTCCCTGACGTGCTTCCCCTGCCCCAGGCTCTAGGGGAGCCCCTGTACCGCGTGAGCACAGGCAACTACGAGTACCGCCTGATCCTGCGCTGCCGCCAGGAGGCCCGCGCTCGCTTCTCCCAGATGCGCAAGGACGTGCTGGAGAAGATGGAGCTGCTGGACCAGAAACACGGTGAGGGGTGTGGGCTGTGGGCAGGCGCCCGGCCCACGGGCCACACCCTCCTCGGGCAACCCCTACACCATCCTCTCCCCATTTCACAGCTGGGAAAACTATGGCCCAGAGAGGTACAGTACTTACCTGAGCTCCCAGGGCCAGCGCATGGCAGAGCTCTGAGTCAGACCCAAGATGGGAGCTTCCCGGAGCCTGGCCTGGGTGGGACTGGCCGTGCCCCGTGGGCTCCTTGGGGTGTAGTCCACCATCCCCCCACCCTGGCAGGCCTCCTCCACTGCCTGACTGGGAGCTGGGAGGCGGCCTGGGTTCTGTGCAGGGCTGGGCAGCCCTGGCCTTGCTCCCTCCCGGGGCACGAGGGGTCAGTGAGGTGCATGATGGGATGCCCAGGAGGGTAGGGAGGGTCTTCTCCACGCGCAGGCAGCCCTGGCCCACTGGCGCCTGTCTGCCCGCCCTCCTGCCCCAGTCCAGGACATCGTGTTCCAGCTGCAACGCTTTGTGTCCACCATGTCCAAATACTACAACGACTGCTACTCAGTGCTGCGTGACGCCGACGTCTTCCCCATCGAGGTGGACCTGGCCCACACCACGCTGGCCTACGGCTTCAGCCAGGATGAGTTCACTGACGGCGAGGATGAGGGGGAGGAAGACGAGGAGGACACAGCTGCTGGGGAGCCATCGAGGGATGCGCGAGGGGCTGCCGGGCCCCTGGACAAGGGCGGAAGCTGGTGTGACTCCTGAGTGCCCCCTTGGGGTGCGGATCTGGGGGGTAGGGCGAGTGGGAGGACGGCAGCATGGGAGTGGGGGCAGGGCTGCCGCAAAACAGGGTGGCGCATAAAGGCCTGCTGGCTTAGGGCGCCTGCCTCCCTGCTCCTCTGTCCCAGCACAGCAAACCCCGGCACCCGCCCAGGAAAGGCACCGGGCCGTGGCCTGGGACCTGGACGCTGGCCCCTCCACCTTCCCTCCCCACCTCCCCAGCCAGCTGGAGAGCTTGGTCTCTGGACCTGCCATAGGAAGGAGAAAGAGGGCAGAAAGGAAGAGGGGCTGGAGGTGGCGGGGAGTCCAGGAGCCGTTCCTTGTGGGCACCTCCACTCACCCCCCGGAGACCTGCCAGGAGGGGGCGCGGGTGGACTGCCGAGCTTGGGACCAGGGTTTCACGCGCACCCTCACCTTGCCCTAGGCTGGCCCCGCCCCCGTCCACACTCACCTCGGCGGCCTTGATTAGTTTCATTCCCTCGCTCAGCCACTTCCCTGGGGAGGGGCTGGGCGCTGGGCCTGTACTGAATAAACACAAACCCAGATGGAGCCGGGCTCTTTGCAGTGGCCTCAGACCCTCTCTCCCCTCGACGTCCCCCTCTTCTGCCCCCTGATCACCAAGGCAGGGCAACAAGGTTTACTGACATTCCCTTTATAGCACTGACTCCTCACAGCAATTCTGTGGATTAGCACTACTGTCCCCATTTACAGAGGGGAAACTGAGGCTCAGAAGAGGCTTGCCCAGGGCCACATGGTGTACAGGGACAGAGTGGGATCTGGACTCGGATCCATGAAATTCAGAAGACTGCACTTTTCCCCCTGCCTCCCAGGCTTTCTGCTCTGTGGAGCCTCTTACGTCCTCCCTTGTCTTTGATCCTTCAGTGCTTCTGGCCATGAACTCAACCTTTATCTGGGGAAGGGCAGGGCAGATACTGGGTCAGGAGGACCCGAGGCCCCAAACTGGGGAGAATGTTAAGGGTGCCCCGGCCATTCCAGGTCGCCTGTTCTGCCAGGGCCAAGGGGAGAAGCCCGGTGGGTGGTACCACGCTAGTATCCCAGGTGTCCAGCTTCACCTGGACAGTCCCAGTGCACACCTGTGGTCCTAGTGTAATTATTAATAGTGGCCCTTTTCACTCTCAAAGTGTCCCTGTTTGGACAATGAAATATGTGCTCATCCTGAGAATGGGAGGGGTGCAAGAGGGTGTGAGAGGTGGGCAGGGTCCACAATGGCCGGGGCGGGGGGTCCCGGGCAGAGACCTGAATGGGATCCTCAGGCAGGATTGGGAGTGTGGAGAGAGGGATGGGCTGTCACCACGTAGATTCCCTAGAACTGTCAGACTATACCACCTCCCTGAAGGGGCAGCCAGTGTGGAGGCCAAGGGCACAGACTGGAACCGACAGCCTAGGTTCCAGTCACAGCTTCTGTGACCCTGAGCTACCTCCTCACTTCCTGTGCCTCAGTTTCCCTATCTGAGTGTGGCTAATGAGGGTACCTACCTTGGGTCCTTACTGAGGATTAGATGAGTTAACATTTGTGAAGGGCTTAGCACGGTGCCTGGCACAGTCAGGCTGTGAGGATTTGTTAAAATAAGACGTAGTCACTGTTGTAGTGGCTCAGGGGAAAGCACAGACACGGTGTAAGTTGGCCGGGCATCTGCAGGGGCTCCCCACACCTTCCTGGGGCATGGATGGAAAATGAGACTAGTGGGGAGGGGGTCACCAGTGGAATGGGCTCCCCTGAGGAGTACGGATGAATGGAGTCAGGGTCTGCGGTGGGAAGGCTGCTTCCTCCACTGGGCCCGGGTCACCAAGCTGGTGATTTGGAGGGAGGGAGGCAAGGAAAGGGGTGTCTAGTTTGTGGGAAGAGAATGAATACTTAAACAGATCCCTAAACCTTCCAGCCAGGGTGAGACCTGGAGCTCCCTGCACTTGACTCAAAGTGCCATTGAGGAGCTACCCCTGGGACTCCACTGGCGGGCGGGGGAGCAGATGCCAGGGTCCGCAGTGGCGTCCGTAGGGACACGTGTCCAGAGCAAAGGTCCCAGGACACCCGAGTTTATCCCCTAGAGAGAGGAGACCCAGAGCCGGGCTGGAGGAGGGTCCCTCTTAGGAAGGTGAGGGGGCAGGGCAGGTGCCGGTCTCCCCTCCGCCACCCCCCTGCTGTCCACAGGATGGAGTCATAGAGTCAGGTACTCTCCACCTCCAGTGTGCGAGAGGAGCCCGGGGCTCGGGGCCAGGATCCAGCCCCAGCCCACCACTCGGACCTGTGCTCTTTCTCTGCTCTGGGCTGCTCCAGCGGCAGGTGCTGCCGGCGAGGGCTTCAGTGTACAGCTCCGAGCAGCGGGGCTGGAGCTGGGACACTTTCCCCTGCCGTCCTCCACCTCTGCCACTTCCTCCCCAACACCCACGGGGTGGGGGGTCGGAGGGCCCCAGGGGGAGCCTCTCAGACTCCCTGCTAACCCATCCCCCAGGTAGCAGCCAGAGGCGCAGGAACAGAAGCTCTTTCAGCTCAGCTTTATGGACTTAAGATCGACACAGGCCCACACCCTGCCGTCCCAGGGCCAGTGGGCAGATGAGGGGGGCAGCTCCCTGCATGGACCCTGGCGGTGACCACCGGAGCAGCCTCCCGTGTGCCAGGTCCTGTGGGGACAGCCGGGGCTCTGAGAGGGGAAGCCCCATTCCTGAAGTCCCTGGCCACCCCACCTAGTGCCCCCGTGCTACACAGACTCGGAGTCTAGTCCCGGCTCTGCCTCCATCTTGGGTTCCGAGGGCCCAGTCCCTGGGCTCGGCACCGCCAGGGCTTCGAGGCCACCGGGCTCCTCGGCGCTGGTAGGCAGGGGCTCAGAGTCCACTTCGGCCTCAGCATCCTCCGTGTCACTGGCCCCGCCCTTGGTGCCTGGGCTGGGCGTGGCGTCCTGAGAGTGGCGCAGGCAACACTTGGTGGCGACAGCCATGAAGACCCCGGCCAGGGCCACCTCAGAGCCTGCCAGGTAGAAGATGATCTCGTAGTTCTTCAGTGCGTCCACCAGGCGGCCTGCGGGGAGGGCGGATGGGGAGGTGAGGGCCTGCGGGGGAGCCCACCCTTCACACCCACACCGTCAGATAAGGGCAGTGCTCTTGGTGGGGCTCACGGGTAACACACACACACACACACACACACACACACACGCGCGCGCGCGCGCACACACACACACACACACACACACACACACGCCCGTCTTTGTTCCCATTTTACAGATGCAAAAATCCATGAGGGTTCTGCCCTTTGAGATCTTAAAACTGTCACTTCACCTCCCTGGACCTCAATTTCTTAAGTGATATGGGGCCTTTGGTGAGGCAGCACTTCACAGTTTACAAGGGACCTCCTGTCCTCGGGATTTCAGCCCCACATGTACCCTGGGACTTGCCCAGCTGGGGGTATTTGACCCGGGAGTGGGGAGAGCACTGGGCTTAGCCCTGCTCTCCTGGGGGCCCCCAACTCTTGTCCTTTCCACTTAACCTCCTTGGTCTTCAGGAGCCTGGCTCAGCTCTCCCCACAACCCCCAGGGCTCCCCCCTCCCAGGAGGCCCCGTGTACCCAGGACTGAACTATCATTAGCATGGGGGCTGGGGACAGGGCTTGTAGAACTCTTGTTTCCTTCTGTGTATTTTCCAAGTTTTCTATCACAGGTACATGTTACTTTCATACTCGGCAAAATCTTTTAATTGCAAATATTTCCCCTAAAGTGTGGTTCCTCAGTGGGCTCCCCCCTCTCTCGGAGGCATCCTTGTGGCTGTCCACACCAGGCTGTGACCTCTCAGTCTGTATCTCTGAGGCCTTGGGGAGGTTCCCTGGAGTCCTCCAAGCCAGCTGCCCGCCTGAGCCCCTCTGAGCAGTACCCCAAACTTGCCTTCCTGACCCCTGCCCAGTCAGCCAGTCCCGCCCCTTCCACACACAGCCCTGTGGTGTCCCTCACCTTCTTCTCACCCCACGTGCCTTCTCTGCCTATTAGATCCACCCCAGGGTCACCCAAGAAAATGGAAGATGGGTCCCTGAGCCTCTGGTTGGTTTTATAGCTTTTGGTGGTTGGGATGCTCATACAGGGGTTCAGGTTCAGTGCAATTCCCACTGCACTGAAGTGGAAATTCAAGGTCAGGTGAGGTGACAAAGCTTGACGGCACTCAGCTAGCCCAGCCCTGGAAGAATGGGCAGCTCACCTCATCTCGGGTGCAGCCTGGGCCCTAGCAAAGGCGGCCCCCATCTTTGCTCCATCCTACAGCCTGACCTCAGCTCTCTCCTGCTCACAGGCAGGCTCCCTGCTGTTTCAGGGATAACCTGACAACCCAGCAAGACCCTAATGTCCCCCACCCCCACCTTTCTGATCCTAGCTCCTGCCTTACTTGTATAGGAACAGTGTCCCCCAAACACTCCCTGTGCCCTCTCCTGGGGGGTCCTGCCCTGCCCCGTGAGACTGCCTTTATGCCAGCCCCTGCAGGAAGCCTTCCCCTACCACCGTGTCATGAGGATTTCCTATGACGTGTAGAGCACCCAGCAGGCGGTGTGCACGGTGGAAGCCTCCCGTGCCCGCCTCTCTGTGAGCGTAATGAGCCCTCCCACTCTGCTCCTGGTTCCCCAAGGACTCTCCCTACTCCAGTCACCCTTAGAGGCTGGGGACACTAAAGCACTCAGATACAGTGTTTCAAAGGTATGGGCACTGAGCACTGGGCAGGGCCCCGCTCTGATTCTGGGACTGCAACCTGTACTGGGCCTCTGGTGGTACCGCCTGGAGGGGAGGGAGGCTAACTGGCCGTGGTAAGGGGAGTCTACCCCACCGGGCTGTCTCTCCCCCCTTCCCACCCACCATGGGTCCCTTCCCCTCTCTCATCCCTGGACGTTCCATCTGGGATAGGGAGGGGCTTCCCTTGGGCTTAGGGGCACTAGGCCGCGTCACCCTCTCCTCCTGTGGCGCGCACCGGCAGAGGGCGGTCCGATGAGCACAGCCACAGCCTCGAGGAGTAGCACGAGACCCAGCGCACTGGGGAATCGGGCCGCACCCACAGCCGCCATGAGCACCTCGAACTGCAGGGCGCCCACCATGCCATAGGAGAGGCCGAAGGCGACGCAGAAGGAGACAAGGGCGCCGTAGGTGCGCGCGCGCGCGCTGCTCAGGTCCGTGAGCCCGTTGGCCATCAGGGCCAGGCTGAAGAGGTAGGCGACATGCGGCCGCAGGCGCGCCAGGCCGGCCAGGGCGCCGCACGCCGGCCGCGCCACGATGTCTACGAAGCCCACGATGGAGAGCAGGAAGGCAGCCTCGGAGTCAGGCACGCCCGCGTCCTTGGCGTAGTTCACCAACAGGATGGCGGGCACGAAGAGCCCGAGCGCCATCAGGAACTTGGTGACGGCGTACACCGCGAAGGCGCGGTCGGTGCACACGGTCACGTCCAGCAGGCGCCGGCGGGTCCGGCCACCAGAGGGCGCCTCGCGCAAGCGCAGTCCCGCACTGTCCGCCTCCGCCTCCCCGGGAGCGTCGCCCGCGCTGTTCCTGCGCGGCCGCGGCCCGGGTGGCGGCCGCATGACGGCGCCGCACGCGCAGCAATGCAGCAGGAGGCCGCCGAGCAGCAGGAAGCCGCCGCGCCAGCCGAAGTGCTCGAGCAGCTGCTGGCCGAGCGGCGACAGCGCCGACAGGAACACTGGGCTGCCGGCCGCCGCCAGCCCGTTGGCCAGAGGCCGCCGCCGCTCGAAATACAACCCCAGCATGATGAGCGACGGCTGGAAGTTGAGGGCCAGGCCCAGGCCTGTGGGCGAGGCGGTGCTGTGGCGGGCTCCCCGAGGGTGCCCCCACCCCAGGCCCCGGCGGGAGGGAGGGGCGAGGTCCCGACAGGGTGTGCAGACCCCGGGGTGGGGGGTGGGAACAGGGCCGAAGGATGAGGACCGCCCCTCGTGGGGAAACTGAGGACAGGAGGTCTTGCAGCAAGGGCTGCTGACCCCCACCTGCACTCCGACCCCCACGAGGAGGAGAGCAGTGGGCGCCCTCACCTGTGAGCACCCCAGCTGTCAGGTATAGCTCCAGGAGGCGCGTGGCAAAGGATGCTAGGACCATGCCGGCCGAGGCCAACAGTCCACCCACCAGCATCACCGGGCGACAGCCAAAGCGGGTCACGAGGATGCTGGACACCGGGCCTGTGGGCAGGGCAGGATCACCAATCAGGCTGGACCCCTCTGTGGCAGACACTCCAGGCTTTGTACCTCCCAGCCTTGAAAGACGGCTTGAAGGAATGAGGTCACCCCCGGTTCAGAGAGGGCAGTGTTGTGGCCAAGGTCACTAGCTTGGCTGGGACAGACCAAAGAGAGCCATATGGGGGGATGCAGGGGAGGAGCCTCTATACTGGTCCCCAGCCCTCCTGAGAACACGGAACATAAAGCAGAAGGGGCGGACCCCATCCGCTTTATTACCTTCACAGCTGGAATCACAGCTTGAGCCGCCTTCCTCCCCAGGCTTCCCCCATCCCTCTCCTCCACCCTTTCACGCTGCCTGGCCAGGATATCTCCAGCATCTCCCCCACTCCACAGGTGGTTAGAGCTTTGGGACTGGGAATCTTAATTAGATCTTAGTTTTCCCACCTGTAACATAGGCGGGTGTGGGTCTTTTGACAGAAATGGCGGGGCCCTTCCAGCTGGCCAAGCTTGACAGGTCAGCCACCTGGGTGCGGGCTCCACCTCTGGCCGCTGCCACCCTCCTGCCCTCTGCTCCCCTCTCCAGTGCTAATGTTTCCACAGGAAGGAAGGGGTTTCCATGCCCACCCCGAGGGGCCTGGGGGAAGATGCTCAAGGGGTCGGGTGTCTCCTGGTCCCTGATCCCGATTCTCAATCCTGGGCCTGGGGGAGGGAGGAGGGATTGGCGAGGGGGCGCTGACCTGTCCCGTAGAGCATGGCGAGCATGATGGAGGATACCCAGGCCGTGTCGCTGTAACCCGCGCCGAAGTCGCGCATAAGCGCGCGGAAGAAGACGCTCACGGCCTTGGGGAAGCCATAGGCGAAACCGGTGACCACGAAGCAGGCGCCCAGCACGGCCCAGCCCCAGCCGCCGTCTGGGGGGCCAGGGCCCCGCCGGGGGCCTCTAGTGCCCATCGTCACCGCCTCTGCTGGAGGAGAGGGGACAAGAGGAAGCGGCGAGGGTCTGTAGCCCAGACAAGAAAGGGGGATGGAGACCCCGGTGTGGGGAAACTGAGGCACAGGGCTACCCACGGGAGCCCTGCTCGGGGAATGGAGCCAGGAGGGGAAACCGAGGTAGGACCTCACCCCGAATCTCCCCTCCTCCAAGGGGCGTGAAGGATGAGGGGTGGGTAATAGAGTCGTTCCCACCTGAGTCTTAACTTCAGGAAGACTCCCTCTGGAGGATACTCCTTGCCCCTCAGGACCTAGTAGTGTCAGGAGAGGGGGTTCGGATGAGTGGGAAAGCCGACAGCCAGTGTGTGACCAGAGGCATGTGTGGGCACCGGCAATGTCCCCAAGGTGTACATGTGAGGGTCTCAGGGTAACGGAACAAACAAGGAGTGGGGTGGAGGGGGAGACAAGTGCCAGTGGCAAAATGGGTGGAGTTCGTTTTCCTCCTTGGCCTTGATTTTTGGCACCTGATTTTTCTCGGTGAGCAGGAATGTCTATTGTCATTTAGAAAATTATGAAAGGAAAACCAAAACATGTTGTAACAATGTTAGCCTCGTCCCAGAAGCCAAGGGAGCTGAGTTCCAATTCATCCCAGCTTAGCCATGGATTTGCTCCGTGACTTGGGCAGCTCCCCTCCCCTTGCTGAGCCTCAGTTTTCCCACCTGTAAGGTGGGTGACTGAACACCCCAGACCAGCTGGGGATCTTGGTGTGGGGAGGGTCAGATCTCTGGCTCCACTGGACAGATGCAGACCTTTGAGGGGGCACTGGGAGAGAGACCCTCTGCCCTCCAAACCCTTAGCAGCCCCCAACACCTCCACATTTCCAGAGCTCCACCCAGGGGTTCACACAGCACCCCTATTGCCCCCATAACAGACCAGGAGGGGGGCCTCACAGGCAGGATAGACCAGCCCACAGCTGGAGCCTCCCTCCCTCCTGCAACTCCTCTGCGCTGGGGTCTCCCGCCTGGCCTTGGGCAATGCCAAGGGCCCTGTGGGACTCTGCCCCTGCCCCCCCAGGACCAAGTTCTGGCTTGGTCACCACAGCTGCAGCCACCTGAGGTCCAGGACAAGAGGTGGTCCCTGACAGCCGTCGCTGCACACTTACCTGAGCTGTCCCGTGGGTTTGGGTGTCCAGCCTCGCATCTCCTGAGGCCTGCAGGGAGGGGCCGCCCCACTGGCTCCCCTGTGAAAGCCTAGCCCGATGGGGGCCGCAGCTGAAGACTCCCAGGCTTCCGCAGATCAGCCACTCAACAGCTCGCTCCCCCAAGCCTGGGGCTTAGTGTTCCCCACCCCCATCCCCTCTAAGAGGCTTTCCGCTGGGAGGGGAGAAGGGCCAGGCAGCCACCGCAGCACAGGGCCAGGCTGGGCCGCGTGGTGGGGCTCCCCGTCCCAGGCCCATCCAGGGAGAGCTAGAGATAGGGGGGCCCCTTCACCGCCTGGAGCTTCCGGCAGAGAACACAGACAGCCCTGCCCTGGGGGGTCCGAGTGGTACAAAGGGCACAGCCCTGCCCTGGAGAGACCCCACCAGCCCTAATCACCTCAACTCCTCCGCCCGCCCTCCGCCCCCAGGCCACATTCCAGGAGGGGCCTCCGTGGCTTTCCCCTGGATAAGGCTAATCCAGGCCAGAGCCTGGGACTGAGGGGGTGGGGATGGGCCTGAACAAAGGGTGCTGTGTCCCAGGGCACCCGAGGGTGACTTGCTGATGGTCCCAGGCCTCAACCACTGCCATCCGTCCGGCTCTAGGGAACCCACAGCAGAAATGAGCCTGGGCCAGAGAGCGGGGGATCCAGCTTGCAGGAGTTAGGCCAGACCTAAAGACTAAACTTAAAATGAGGGCTGTGAAGGGCTGGGAGTGAGTGAGGCCTCCCAGGGAACTGCCAGTGACATTTAGAACCTTCTGGACTCCCTTCTCCAGTGGGAGGTCTCCATCCCCACCCTGTCCCGCCCTGTCCCCCAAGTCAGACTCCACCAGCCCCGCTGCCGGGTCGCACCTGCTTTATTTCCCACCGTTTACAAAAGTTAAACAGGGGCGGTGTGTGGGGCAGGGGAGGGGGTGTGCAAGGGGCTCCTCCCCAGTGGGACAGAGAAGGGGGAAAGAGGTTGAGGGGCATGAGGCAGGCCCCCAGGGAGAGTCCGGGGCCCCTGGAGGGGAAGAAATGGTTCTGTCCCCCACTTCCGGCTGCTTTATTTTGAAGTCCCCAGACCCCAGGCCGGTGCCTTTGGAACTGCTCAGGCTGGGGCGTGGTCTGGGGAAGGGCAGCTGCCCCCGGTAGCAGGGCCCCGGCTCCTTGGATCCACTGCTGCTGCTTCTGCTGCTGCCAGCTCTGGGCAGCCCCCAGGCAGGTGTCGGGGGGACGACCTCAGACCCCTGGTGGAGGAAGGCACCTCAGTGGATGAGGGGCGCTGAGCGGTCATTGGTGACAGTGGGACGCAGCTTTACGGTGGCAAAGGGGTTTGTGCCCCTGTTGGGGGAGAGGAGGGGGTGAGAGGGGCCCAGGTCCCCAGCTGGCTGTGGATCCAGGGAAGGCAGCTGGGCATCTGAGCCAGGTGTCCCCCCTACCTCCTGTCCCCGTCGGTTCACCTCCACTCACGCCCACCTTTGTCTCCCCTCCACAGCCCTCTGTTGAGCCCGGCCCCCTCTGACCCTCACTCAAGGACTCACCGAGGGAAGAGCTCTGGGGGTTGCTGCTCCCAGGACATGAGTTTCTGCAGTGAGCGGGGAGGGAGGGCCAGGTTTGGGGGGGAAGGAGCAAGAGAGCCCCTGCCCCACCCCCCACTCCCCAATCCAGCAGGTCAGAGCACTGGACCAGAGGCCCCTGCAGCGCCAGGCTTCTGGGAAATGAGGTCCAGCCTTCCGAAACCCAAGATGCTGTGAGTTTCAGACTTGAGGAGCCTCTGGGCCAAAGTGCCATCTCCCAGGGCCAACACCGCCCCCAGGGGAGGCCTTTCCAGTGCTCCCAGCAGGAGCCCAGGGCTCCCAGCCACTAGAGGAATGCATTCCCCCCACCCTCCACCCCACACTCAGAAGCCCATCCCACCCCTCCCGGCACAGATGGGCAGACTGAGGCTGGACAGAGCCAATGGCAGGGCAGGGAGGGTTACCTGGTCTCCAGTCTTCCTGCCCCACCGGACCACCCCAGGGTTGAGGGCAGACTGGGGGAGGGGGCTCACCTTGATGTCACTGGCCACCCCCATGCTGCCCATGCTACTTCGGCGGCTGCCAGGCAAGGGTGTAGATGCGGGGCTGGGGGTGCGGCTCGGGACCCGGCTCGGGGTTCGGGAGCGGGACTGGCCATCCCAGTAGTCTGAGGGTGCTGTGGAGTTGCCTGGCCGGTCCAGGAGGTCATCAAGGCTGTGGCTGCCCCGGAGTGGGTAGGACCTGAGCCCAGAGAAAGGAGGGACGGGAAGGGGGTCAGGGGTCAGGCCCTGCTGCACCCCCCACCCCCACCCCATCTGCTGGGCCCCTGAGCACCCTACATCCTCCTCCCTTGCCCCTGGCTGAGAGGAGACTTGGCTTGAAGGCAGTCCTGAGAGGAGGCAGAGGGATGGACACATGACCTTCACACGTAGAGAGATGGGGGTGCCCTTTCTCCAGGAGCTGAAGGAGGTTGGGCTAACTCCGGACTGCAGCTCAGAGATGCCCTTCCTGGTGGCTGGGGCCACCCCCCACTGGAGTCCCCGCCCCTGCTCCATCTCTGACCACAGCGGTACCTGGAAGGCAGCTCATTCATAGGGCTCAGGGGGTTCATGGACGTCACTGGGTTCAAGGGGTTCGTGGGATTCATGGAGGTCACGGGGTTCAAGGCATTCAAGGGATTCATGGGCAGCTCCTCCAGAGGCTTCACATAGGCCTCGGGGAACCAGCCGCTCCTGTGGGGTGGAAGCAAAAAGCCCGACAATGGTGGTCAAATACCGTTTCTAAGAGGAGCAGATGATTACTGGGCACTGCTGTGTGCCAGGCCTGGCTCTAAGAGTAACTCATTTCATCCTCTGAAGGAGGTCTTTCCTGACATTCAAAGTCACTCATCCAGCCTCATGTCCCACCAGGGGCTGGGGCGCCTTAGCGAGGAGGAACTGGAGATCCGAGAAGGAAAGCATTGTATCCAAGGACATGTGGTGACAGCTTCATTCCCTACTTGCTGAGTACCCACCACACGAGGGCCCACGGAGAGCCAGATGCAGTCCCTGTTCCCCAGGGGCTCCCAGCCAGCCGGGGTGGGGGGGGCAGACAGACCCACAGATGATTACAAGGGTGAGGAAAAGGGGACCGGTTGGGGGGACCAAAGGCAGCTGTAGGAGCCCAGAGGATGGGGAACCAGAGCCGGGGATGCCTGGCTACCAACCCTCCACCATAGGCCCTCTGGTCCCGGTGACCCCAGCCACCCTGTCTTGGAGTCTTTGTCTGGCTGGAGGCTCATTACTGCATCTTCAGAGCAGCCAGGGTTGAGGGAGAGGCACTATGATCCATGTTCCTTAGCCTTTTCAGACTCCACGGAACCCATTAGATTCTTCCAGAACATCTGGGAAAGTGTTCTCCAAACAGCCACCTTAGATCCCCAAACCCGCTCAATAACGTTCTCACCTGTAGGTAACTGGAAGCTATTTCAAGTCAAACTGACAGAGTAAAACCATTTCAGATCGTCTTACTTCTGTCTTCACTGTAAGTGCCTACTGATGAAACTTGCCATTGTTTTCCCTAACCTGAGTCACAGAAAGAATAACGATGTCCCAGGAACGCGGTTTGAGAGCTCAGATCTGGGTGGTTTTATAATCAGGTCCCCAGGAGGTTTGCTACACACCTGTTTTGGGGACTTTCAGGGAGGCACCTTGCTGCCCTCTGATGTGGGTCTGCAAAGCTGGTGTTTTTTCCACTACTCGTGTTCTTAGTCGCGTCTCTACCCACCGGCTCCTCTTTCCATTCCTGATCCATGTGGTCACCTGCCATCCACCCATCTATCTACACGTCATCCCATCCATGCATCACCCATCCATGATCCATGTGGGCAACCACCCAGGGACCACCAATCCACTAACCCATCCATCAGCACTTGCCCACCTGCCCGCCTCTCTATCATGCACCCCACATTGTGCATCCTCCCATGCCCCCTTCCATCTACCCATCTGCTTACAGGAGCATGCATCCACCTGCTCACCCCATTACGCCCTCATCCATCCTCCACCTGTCCATCTACTAATCACATGACCATCTCGGCAAGCGCCCTCACATGCACTTGCTGACTCCCCTGTCGACGCTCCATTCATTCATCCCCTCTTCTTGTCCTCATTCATTCCTCTCTCCTTAGCGTGAGTGGGCGTGGGCACCACACAGTCTCTTGCCCATAAAGCCCTGTGGGGGGCATTGCCCGGCTCCAGCAAGCTCCCACCTTCCCCTTTTTCTTTGGCAGAAAGAGTGATCCCTGCTTTCCTCCAGGCTTACCGCGACTGCAGTGTACTCCCTAGCCTCCCCGTTCTACTCATGGTGTCAAAAGCAGCCCGTTTATGTTCTTTAAGGATTTCCACTGCGCCTGACTGCAAGGAGGTGAGCACACTCAGCTTGCAAGGTCCCAGCACCGCCCCTGCGCCTGGCCCCCCTCTCTGTCCATTCCCTCCGTCAGACCTTGGCGGACTCCCTCAGGGTAGAAGGCAAGCTGCCCCCTCTCTTAGTGTAAAGCGCAAAGTAAGTGCTCAAGCAATAGGGTTTCTGTATTGTTCCCACTTGTGAGAGAACCTTCCCATTCCCCATCCTCTACCACCCTCTCAAGGAACACCACCCTGAACTTGATAAAGAGACTCTTCCTACCCTCGTTGAATGGATGAGGAAACTGGTGTGGGACGAGGAGGGGATGGGGGATGGGGGATGGGTTGTTCGAAGGCCCAGGGACAGCCTCCATCCTGGAAGACTCAGTTGCAGCTGAAGTCCAGGCTTTCCGGTCCTCCTTCCAACCCACCCTGCGCCCCGAGGCTCCTACTCACGTGGATGAGCCCTCCAGCTTGCCATAGAGCCAGCCGTTCTGGGCCTCCGGTACCAGCACCTCCACAACGTCTCCGGCCGAGAAACGCAGCAGCGTGTGGTTGGCGCCCTCCGAATGGGAGACCAGGGCGCGGACTCGCCGGGCGCCGCCGCCGCCCCTGCAGCCCGGGCGCTCGCCGAAAGAGTTGGAGCGCGAGCGCTCAGTGCTGATGCTGTAGAGCGAGGCTGCCGAGGGGCAGGAGAGCGCCGCGGCACGTGGGTGGGAAGTTCTCCCTGGCGTCTACCCTCGATCCCTCCTGCTGCAGCGCAATCTCGGTTCCTCTTCCCGGCCCCGGGTCCCCAACCTGGGTACCTGGCCCTCCCTCTGCGCTTCGGGCGCCGGGGGTACTCACAGGCGGACGGCGTCCGGGGCAGGGACCGGCGGTCTGGCTCCAGCTGGGACGCGTATCTCGCCTCAGTGGGCTCGGGGCCGTGGGAGCCGGAGCCGTGCCGGCTGCGTGGGGAGCCGAACTCTCCCAGAGGCCTCTGGGGCTGCGAGGGGAGACGGGCAGGGGAGGGTGGGGCGGGGAGGGGCGGGGCCGCGGCGCCCTAGTCCAGCCCCCGCCCCCAGTCCCAGGCGTCGGCGGCGTAGGGGTTCTCTGGCCTGCGGCCGAGGAACCACGGGGGCGCCGAGGTCACGCTGGGGCGGAAGGGCCGGCCGAGGGGCGCTTCGAAGGACGAGACCCTCGGGGGGAGGAGGCTCCAGGCGGAGGGCCTCAGGCCCCAGTGCCCCGCGGAGGGTGCCGGGGGCGGCGGGGGCGCGAACGGCGGCGGCGGGGGCGCCCAGGGCCTCACCATGTCCAGGCGGGTGGGCGTCAGGCGGCCCGAGGGGTAGGGCGGCCCCAGCAAGGGGCCCAGCAGGCCCGGGGAGTGGGCGCGCGACGGACTGCGGCTGGCCTCTGACTGCTCCTTCCACAGCAGCACGCGGTTCTGCAGCATCCCCCGGGCCTGGCCGGGTGGGGACACGGGGGTCAGCGAGATCCAAGCAGACCCCAGAATCCCGGGGACTCAAAACTGGCATCCTAGACCCGGGAACTCGGGCCCTGCAAGCTGAGGATGACCGGACTTTCCAGCTGGAAGGAACCAAAGATCGCTGTGGTCACTTTGGGTTCACCCACTGGCCAGCCCTCCCGGTCTTTTGTCAAAGGCCCCTCACTTTTCCTGGAGGAGTTTCCCCTGACCCGTCTCTCAGTCTTGTGCTTTGACGGGG